TGAACATGACACCAGTATCTTTCCAACGTCTATGCCTGAACAGCAAACATTTTCCAGATGTTTTCCCACTTATACAGGGAGAAGAAAAGGGCTTGAATTATTGTTCTTTAACTAGAATTCTATAATTCTATACCAAATGAATTTACTTTACCATAAAATACTTTACCAGAAAAACGTTTAGTATCCTTGCAAGTGCTGAAAATATGTATTTCTAAAGCAATCTCATTTGTCATAGAGTGTGCCAGGAAATAGCCCTTAAAATCTAAAACACCTAGTCAGTATATCATAACTCCCATTCTAAAATAGCAGTATGACAAAATACAACAGCAAAACAGAAATTTAATATCCCCAAAAGAAACACATTTGTGAAGCCTTTAAGGCACTACTTCTGTATGTTATGACAAGCAGCTTCAAGCTGCACATAGGAAGGAAAGCTCACCAGTGAATACTAGTAAAGCAGGTAAGGGCTAAGTTAATAGGGAAGTGCTGGTGGGCAGAATATCACATGGTGACCCCATCCCAGTGCACCATTTAGGAATACTATACCCAATTCTCAATTGTCCAGATACACTGAGAGATTTAACATGGATACATAAAAGATTCTATAATCCAATATCTCACTTAAGCCAAATTTTAGATTTGGTTTGCCAGGTTAATATGAAAAGTACAAACAAATCATGTTTTAAAGATCTAAAGTCATTTGGCAATCACCATAATAATAATTGTCCCATGCAAGAAAGAATCAGCAACGGAAGCTAAAACTAGTGAGTGTAAGTACAATGATAAAGATAATATTTACACAGTTTCAGATTATTTCCCATCTCCCCATGAGATACTTATTTATTACAATGGGAAAAATAGTAACTTCACAATAGAGAAAGCCTGAGATACCACCCTAACCAAATAATCAAAGTAACACCATCAATAAATGAGAAAAATAGCACATGCCTCTGGATATCTTACAGTGAGAAGGACACATCGCTCCTGTGATTTTCCTGCCAAAAATGCATAACCTGAAATTAATCATAAGGAAACATCACACAAACCAAAATTAAGGGACATGTTACAAAATAACTGGCCTCTACTCTTCAAAAATGTTAAGGTCTTAAGAAACAAAGACTGAGGAACTAGTCCAGATTAAAGAAGACTAAAGAAACAACAAGGTGCAATGTTGTACACCAGGAAAACAAAAATTTTCTTTTGCCATAAAGGAAATTAGTGGAATTGGCAAATTTAAATAAAGTACATAAATTAGAGAAAATGAAAGCAAATGTAAAATGTTAACATTTCAGGTATCCGAGTGAAGGGTAAATAGGAAATCTTTATACAATTTTGCAACTTTCTCAAAGTCTGAAACAATTTCAAAATAAAAGGTTTTTCTAAAAAATGTAAAATGTGTTTATCGCAAAATTTCAGCATTACTAACTACTAAAAGAAGCACAGAACCTGCAGTAAAATAAATGCTTCTCTGTAAATTCCCCTTGCTTCAGGTGGGGGTACTAATAAATACAAAAAGACACAAAGAAAAATAGCCGTTGACAGATCACGTGGAGCTCATATTTTAACACTTTGGACTAGGCTTTGTCATACTCTTTCTTACTTTATCAAGGCAGAAATCTGGGAAACTAACTGACCTGAGGGACTCTGCTGGTCAGTCACCTCATCATTTGGAAGAGATCATATAATACATAACTCTTGGGTCTTCCAAAAGGAAGGCTGGACAAGCAATGGTAATGAGACATTGAGTTCCGTGATCCTGAAGAGACCAGTGAAGAGACAAAATCCACAGCATTTCTAAAAACAATAGGGCAGCCATGAGCTAAGGCCCTGCTGGCTTTTCTTACGTGCCCATCTTAAGCTTTTATCCAGCAGATTCCAGATCAGCCAGCATCTGACAGCAACCAGTAACATATTCCCAGAATTTTTTAGGGGATTCCAGAAACGCATATTCTCCATGTGGCGCAACATGAAATACTTCATCACCTGTGATGCATTTAAGTACCACTTCTCTGAAAGGTTTTGCTCCTGATCCAAATGAGGTAGGTATTTAGGCCAGGCTGCCACCACCTTCCACAACCCCCTGATTGGTTACTGCTGCCTTATATGCTTTTCAGTCCCCCTTAGACCTTGAGTCACTCCTCACTATCCCCATCATGACGTCTCACTCTACCCCACTACCTTATAGCCACAAAAGGTATCCACCCACTGGAGTCTTCCAAGCCCCAAGCACTGCCCCTCCCCACCATTCCCTGCCATTTTCATGGTCGACTTCAAAATTTGGAGATTAGATATACTACTGGTATAATTTTGCTATACTTTTAAGTAGAGTTACTTGAAAGTAACTGTACTTTGAAGCTGACCAAGAAACAAAGCCACTATTTCTAACAGTACTTCTATAGACATGTAAGTTCCAATGCCAAAATAGTCTACTTACTAACAAACAATAGATGCTATTTGTTGAATAGAATTTTAAAGATGATTTTTGGCATATAGCTCATCATTTAAGAATAAGGACCCCTATCTTATTCTTACTGAAGAAGCCACTGCAATAACCAACAATTAACACTGAAATCCTACTGAGTTTGTGGCACCATTCAACACACTTTCAAATTCACTTTATTAAAATGTAAAATGTGTACCTTTCTATTCTGAAATAGAGTAATAAAATGCTATTATACACAATGAAAGCTATACTCAATGAACCAAAATATGACTACTTTAGAGATGAAATGGAGTAACTATCAAACTGCAAGCACAGGAAGTACTATAAGATGGGAAAGGGAGAATGATACCTTATAAGAAAAAAAGTAAACATTAAAAATACTTTATGATCCAGCAGTTCCACTTGTGGTTATATGCCCAAAAGAACTGAAAGCAGGGATTCAAACAGACATGTGCACACACATGTTCACAGCAGCACTATTCACAATAGTCAAAAGGTGGAGGCAACCAAAGTGTTCACTGAAGGATGAATGCGTAACCAAAATGCAACACATACCCGGAATGTAACAAATACATGCTACAACATGGGGGAAACTGAGGACATTATGCTAACTGAAATATGCCAGACACAAAAGGACAAATATTATATGATTCCATTTATATGAGACATCTACAGTAGTCAAATTCATAGAGACAGAAGGGTGGTTGTCAAGGGCTGGGTGGAGAGAAGAATGGGGAGTTACTGTTTAATGAGTACAGAGTTTCAGTTCTACAAGATAAAAAGAGATCTGGAAATGGACGGTGGTGATGGCCACACAGCAATGTAAATGTGCTTAATGCCACTTAACTGTACACTTAAAAGTAGTTAAAATGTTAAATTTTATGTTATATATATTTTACCACAATAAAAAAAATACTTCATAAAAAATGTCATTTTATTTTTTGAAAGGCCACATAACTGCTATTTATGCTACTTCTTGCTTATGCCCCTAACTGAAGCCCATGGCTTTATAATTTCCTTTATATTAGCCTCTAACACATACACACACACACACACACACACACACACACACACACACACGCACGCGCACTCTCTCTCTTTTTCTCTCTCTCGCTCACACTCTTAAATTGCACACAGAAGTGGGTTTTTTTTTTTTGAGACAGAGTCTCGCTCTGTCACCCAGCCTAGAGTGTAATGGCACGATCAGAGCTCACTGTAGCCTCAAACTCCTGGGCTCAAGAGATCCTCCTGCCTCAGCTTCCCAAGTAGCTGGGACTTCAGGTGTGCACCACCACGCCTGGCTAATTTTACTTTATTTTTTTAGAGACAGGGTCTTGCTATGTTGCCCAGGCTGGTCTTGAACTCCTGGCCTCAAGTAATCCTCCTGCCTCAGCCTCCAAGTATTGGGATTATTGGCATGAGCCACTGGACCCAGCCCTTAGAAGTATTTAATGTGACAAATGATTTTCAAGGGTTTAAAGAAAAAAAGATGATTTCTGAATTCCTTTTCTGAACTTGCGTTTTTCTACACAAAAATGTAAAATTTACAAGATACTTTAGGCCTGCAGCCCAAAATAGAAGGAAAAACACAAAAATCACAACTAACAGCCATCAGTGATAGATTTTTTGACATCTAATGACGCAAGAGTACAAAAGTATTTCCATAGAAGAATTTACTGAAATCATAAGCTTATCTCTAGTCTCGGTTTAAGAAAAAAGTCTACCTGCAAGTGAGTTACAATAGCAAGTGTGGCCAGCAGTTTACACAGATAACTCAATATGCTCTCTACATAACTAAACACAATAGAGTTGTTAACGTATGAAGTGAAGGAGGTAAGGATCTGGGTACTAAAATAAAAGCTATGGTAAAGATTTTTCCTAGAAAGGACAAAAAGGTATTACAAAACAACAACAAAAACAACACATGCATGCAAATATTGAGCTCTCTAATCTATATGTGACATTAATTCTCAACTGGCGGAATACTAGCCCTTTGCCCTGGGGAGTAGAAGTCACAATCTTCTTGTGGCCTTCCTGGAAAAAGAATATTCAACATATCTACTGGTTTTATACTATAGAAAAAAAGCCTGAAAATTCTTTAGGGCTGAGGGAGATGTGCCGAACATAAGTAAGAAAGCATTTTAGCAGGGGTTAAGAAAAGGTTTAGGGAATGTGATTTTAGAATATATAGCTGCCCTCAGGGAGAGTTAAATCGAGTAAAAGATGCAAATGGAAAAAGAAAGCTAGGCTTTTAATCATACCTGAAAAAAACCTTTCTGATCTAGGTAAAATCTAAGGTTGAATATCAATCATGGGTTATTTCCAACATAAATTTTTGACCAGAATAATTTAAAAACATTAAAGACAAAAATATAACGTAGTATTTCCAAGTAAATGACAGAATAAGAAGGAAGAAAATGGACAAAGAGCAAAATGTTAGATCAAATATTTTAATACTGAACATATTAATGATCATAAAAAGAATGCATATTCTATGAATGTATATTCATTTTAGAAAATATGGAAACACAGAAAATGTGTAATCAGTATGACTCACCTCTCGAGTAGCTAGCTGGTTGCTGAGTTCCTCAGCCTTCTCAATATTCCACTCTTCCACAGCCTGGTCTATCCTCTTTTCAAGGCCTGACTAGAAAGAAAAGAAACCTAAAAATTAAGGGCAGGAGGGAAAGGCAAACATGTGCTAGCCAAGATTATATCACAGGACTACACCAAATGTATTACATACATAGACCATTTAATTCTCACGATAACTCCGTAAGATAGTTGGTACCGTGCCCATTGGTGCCAGAAGTCTCAGAGACACTAAATGGCTTACCCAAGGTCATATAACTTCTTGAACTAATAAAAAGGGGATGCAAATCCAGATTTTTGTGACTCCAAAGCTTATGCTTTCCCTTAATAACAATAATAATGTTAATGATAATAATAGCTAAAATTTATGGAGTGCTTATTATGTGGCTGACCCTAGGCTTAGTACTGCAAAAAAGCTCAGTTAATTCTTATAACAACTCCATGAAATAATAACATTATCCTGTTTTAAAGATCAGGGAACAGAGGCTTAGACTCCCTAACTTGGCCAAAGGCTGAGTTTGTAAGCAGTAAGGCCACCATGTGAACCCAGGTGTGCTCAGAGCCTCCATTCTCAACCACAATTTCCTCTTTGTCTATACTGCCCATTTCTATAGCTCAAGACTTTTATTTAATAGCCCCTCATAGTCTTTGACTGTGGACATTAGGCTGAATATTAAACATGGGAGGAAATTACATATACTTCAGGAAATCGTAATTAAAATTTTCATGAGATTACCAAACTGACTATGGTAGAACTCATCTTACATTTATGAAAAGATGCTCAGACTTAAATACTATGAGTTCTAGCTTGTGAAAATAGTTACTACAGGTAATAAAAATTTTAAAATATAGTATAATATGATTCTTATGAAAAAATTTTCTTCTAACAATGGATTTTCTAGTACATTGTTTAACTTCCACATTTTCAGTTAATATTGTATCTACTAAAGATTTCTTCCTCCTTATCTAATAACAGAAGTCCTAAGAATATGCTAGATTATGCTAGTCAACTGAGAGAAATTTTGTTCCTGTGTAGCCTTTGTTGAAATGAGATTAAAAAACAGCTACAACATAATTTTCCTAAAAAGATCACAGAAACAAGACCAGTGAGGTCGTCACTGATGTCTGTTGTTAAGGGAAAACTGTTCCTTCTCACAACCCCACCTAAGTACCTGGGAGGCCAACAGGTGTTTCTGCTTGCTCCCCACTGCAGCTAGAGACCTTCACTCAATAGTTCTTTGTGGTCTTTGACCCCATGCCATATGGCTCTAATGCCCTCCTCCCATTTTTGTCCTGTGATCGATCATCTACTAGTCTCCAGAAATTTCCTTTTCTGGTATTTCTGCATAACTCTTTTCCTGATAGTCCAAGCAACACCCTGGACTCACTTTTCAAACATCCTTCATCTTCAGGGACCTCTAACTCTACCCATCTCAGAAGTCTATACTCTAGGCCAGTGCCTGTGTACCAGTTCTGGTTGGTGCACAGTGTCAATCCATGGGAAAAATAAGGAGTTTGTTCCAGAATGCAAATCCGCTTCATGACTAAGCACAGTTTTGCCTAGATGACTTTTGGGCAGGAGGAGGGTAACAAGACTTTCTCATTGAGGAGGGTAGTACACTGAGTTATTCAGGAACACGTTCCTTGTATCTTTGCAGACCAGTACTTTGAGGAGGATTGCTGTAGGTCATGTTATAGATATCATGAAAGCTCTACCCACAAAGCTTCACAATCTAGAATTCTGCTCCCTAAATATAATTCTCCACTTATCCTCCTACCCAATATGCCTGCTTTGTCTTCATCTGGAACCTTGATCCTTGGCACCCTCATACTTATTCTCACAGTTCCTCAGTCCCTTCCTGGACTCTTTCATCCTCCCTCTCTAGTTTGCAACCCATGATTAACCTTATCAAACTAGACTCTAAGGCAGTGGTTCTCAAAGTTTACCTTCTAGACCAGCAGTATCAACATTACCTGGAAACTTATTAGAAATGCAAATTCTCTGAATCAGAAACTCTGGGCTGGGGCCCAGTGATACACATGGTTCCGATGCAGACTAAAATTTATGTCAACCACACTCTCACTCTTGAAACTATCTGTTATCTCTTATTGTCCCTTAATCTTAGAAGTCCTCAAGGTTCTGTGATTAGCCTCTTTTCCTTCCTACTTTTCACCCTCCCCAGTAACCTACTCAATCCTGGGGCTTCCCTTACTTCTTATGAGCTATTTATGTCTCTAATTCAAAACATCTGACTTCTCCCCTGTACCAAAATCTACATCTCTACCTACTTGCTAGTCATCTTCATATTGAAGGCCTTGCCAAGGTAGTTTTCCATTTTATTGTATCTATAACAACCTCATCTCTTCCTGCCCTGCTTCTCCTCCTACTACTAGGTCACCCTTGACCAAATCCTCAATTATCTGTAACGCTTCTAAGCCCTGCTCCCATGTGAGCTCTATTCTGCAGAGTTGTTCACTTTGCCCTCTTGTGCTTCCTCAGGGTCTCATCATCCCTTATGTGGAATATTATAATTTCCAAACTGATCTTCTCTTTCTGTTCTCCACTCTGTGCTGTTGCTGTACCTCGTGTCCCTACAGCACTTACTGGTCTGACACACTGCAGTGAGCTGTGCCTGTCTCCCCCTCGGGTTCTATGCTCAACAAGAGCTCAGTAAGAGCAGACTCTGTATGTCACTGGCTTGTCCCAGAATCCCGACCAGTTCCTTCCACCTAGGAGGCACTCACTCAGTCTGTGCTTCGAGCTAATATTCACAGTGCAGTTATCCATGCTCGCTTTAGCGCTGCAAGGACCCCATCCCAACTGGGAACATTTATTATATATCCACTGCTTTGAAAAGTTCCCAAGAGAATTCCACACCTGTAATATTGTAATAATAATGCCCCTATGATCAAAAAAAGGGTCACATGTATTGCACTTGATATAAATCTATCCCTCTACTAGAATATATATTTCTTGAGGGCATAGATAATATCTTCTCTGTTTTGGGTTCCCAGAGCTTAGTTCAGTACCTGTACCTAGAACTTTATATTTACTCTTAAATTTATATTGGAAATAAAGTCATTTTCTTTAAAAAATGTAAATTCAATACTCTCTCCTTCCTGTGCAAAATATTAGGTAGCTCTTCAAATGCCACTGAGACACACGAAATACATTAATATCAAACTTCAATTTTCCCTGTACCACAAATTCTAGGATAGCCTAATATCTCAACCCAGACCTTATCCAATCACATCCAAGCAAGCCAGCAGCCCAGACCTGTTCATCTCAGCAACATGGTCACCAACAGCACTTAAGCCTGTCCTGTATGTTCCACACAGCAGCTCTGTTCCCTTTTGATTATCTAGACTTTCTGAGATCATGCAAGATCTGGGTATTGCATTCCTTTACACCAGGACCTGAAATGAGCACAGATCAGTGAGTAACAGGCATCTACTCTATTTTTGCCACCAATGCCCAAGAATAAACAGATGGTCTGCTTATGGAGTCATTTTGCTGCGTCAACTTGCTAATTTCCCCTTGGCTACTATGGAGCCACAATTTAAAAGTTAACATCACAAAGGGGGAAAAGAAAAAACACTCCCCCCTTTTCTAGAAAATCATATGAACTGCAGAGCTTATAGGTATAATTTCCACTTGAAAATACATCGGTGAAAATTACAAATCTATCTTTTCACCATAAACCAACTGCCATTCCCCCAGCCATTCAGAGCAGCATATCAAGGTGATGGCAAAATACATTACAGCACCGGACTAGAAGTCAGGCAATGTGGTCAAAGCTCTGGGTAAATGAAGTACTTGATTTGTAAGCTCAGTTTCCTTACAGATAATGAGAGGATTGGCTTGAATGATCAAAATTTCATCCTAGAAATAAAAATCCTAAGTTTCTAATACATTTTCAACTTCACTTTTAGCGCTTTCAATAGTATTTTGCTTGTTTTTTAAAATTTCAACAAAGTTTCAGTAGATACAACTGTTTTTCTTTTCTTCCCTTTCCTTTTTTTCTGGCAATTTATTTAAGTAAAGTATAATAGTGCCTTTTGGCTCTAAAAAATTTCTGGTTCCATGTGTATATTCAAACTTTGTTTCTATTAGAACATATTAACATTCCAAGTACATTCAAAATGCTTATATTAGTAAAAAAAATTTCCTCTGTAAAACATTTCCATCTCCTTAAGACCATAAGTTCAGGTTACAAAGAGCACAGCTGGCAAGATCAGACCTGGGTTCAAATACCAGCTCCTCTACTTATGAACTAACCAACCTTGAATGAGTTTGGAAACCTCTGTATGTTACAGTTACCTCACATGTAGTAAAAGGAGAATAAAACCACATCCTCTACAAGGTTAGCATAAGGGTCAAAGAAAATATATGTAAAATACCTAGCCAAGTTTTTAGAATATAGCAATCATCCAATAAATAATAAGCTGCTTCTATTATTACTATCTAAATATCAGGATACCATTAATGCAAAGAGAAGGCTTATCTTTATTGGCTACAGACTTCATTATAGTTCTTTAAGGACTCAGATCTAAGCACAAAACCCAAGAATTCAACCCAAGAGTCAGTAAGTAGTCTCACAAAACAGAATTTGAGCATAAGGCTTTTTTGCAAGTCTTAAGTTGGACCCAAGTGTAGCCTTTATTTGCCTTATCTATGACATCTTCCATACCACAGGCATGGCAGTAGACACAGCAGCGCTGCTGACAGCTTGCAGTGGTTCTCATGTGCTTCTAAGTTGCTTTTTGGCCAGAATCAAAATACAGCTTAAGATGCATCTGAATGTAGACAAAGCAATTTTGGGATGGCAATTTGGCCACAGGTGGAAAATTCATTTAAGGGCAGTATCTAACAGGTTCCCACAAGGCAACTACTAACCTCTAATTAACAAAGTTTTACTGCAGATGTCAAAAGACATGACTACAAATATTTAAGAAATTTATGGGTACTAGGTTTAACATTATGGACTAACATCCAGATGTGCATATGTAGAATATCTTTAAACTATGTGATTAAAGCTCTTAAAATCAAACTGTACCACATTATATTTCTACAGAAATTTTGCTGCTAAATATTTGGATACTATATTTAATTTTAAAGGTTAATACATATGACTCATCTACTTAAGTTGGCTTCACTGGACCTAAACAACTAAAGAAAAAAATGAGGTAATTTCTCCATAAAGCGTGGGAGAAGAGCTATCTTTATATATAAAGGTATTTATTTATGATTGTGTTACCTTTATATATAAATCATACTCACTTAAATCATCTGAGTAAGTAAAAACTAAGTCCAACTGTGACATCAGAAAAATCTAGATTTGGGACCAAAATGACTTGGGTTTAAAGTCTCATTTCACTTCTTACCTGTCCTGTTTGTTTCCTTAGGCAAATTATGCTGAGATTCAGTTTCTTCATCTGTATTATAAGACTAATGTTAGCCCTACCTACCCATTCTACAGGGATCACACAGGGATCAAGAGAGAATGCTTTCTAACCAATACCAGGGGAACTTCATGATACCACTACAACACCCCCACACCTCTCCCTCCACACTCCTACATCTCTCTCCCCACCCACTCAAGGCAGCAAGCCTTTTAAATGATCTATGTATTGAAGTACCATGTAAGTATCTGGT